TACATGACAGCAAATTAGCTCATAAGAATGTAAATTCAGATTACTAATAAATGATAAATAATAAAAAAAATAATGCTGGGAGTTAAAAACATAAAAATTAGAATATAGAATACTATAATTTTGTTTAGAACAGGGTGTTGAGGAGAATATTTGGACCGAAAAGAGATGAAGTGACAGGAGAGTGGAGAAAATTGCATAATGAGGAGCTTCATAACTTGTACTCTTTTCCAAGTATAATTAGAATGATCAGGTCAAGGAGGATGAGATGGGCAGGGCATATAGCATGACTGTGGAGAAGATGAATGTATATAGGGGAAAGCCAGAAGGAAAGATACCACTCTGAATACCAAGACGTAGGTGGGTGGATAATATTAAAAAGGATTTTAGAGAGATAGAATGGGATGGTATGGATTGGATTGATCTGGTTCATGATAGGGACAAGCGGAGGGCTCTTGTGAACAGGGTAATGAACCTTCGGGTTCTATAAAATGCTGGGAAGTTCCTGAGAAGCTGCACAATTGGCAGGCTAAATGAATGAGTGAGTGCTGGGAGCTAGAGTACGAATATTATATGCAAGTCCAAACGTCCACACAAATACGTGTGATAATGCGCCTGTATCGTGTAGATGATGCAGTAACAGTGTGCGCTGTCTCTTGGGACCCATGCCTCAGAACGGCTCCCCCACTGCACATATGCTGGTTGCCTAACAAGATTTTTCTTCCTCCCCACACATCTATCATAGCGCTGTGCTGTGCTATCGAGATACGAGGCCCAGCATAAACAGATCCTGTTCCAACAAGCCACAATGCAATTTACGGGTTACGTTTCGAAACTGAAATTCCATTAAGTTTACCGCCGTTCTGATGGATTACACAAAGCAATGCCAATAACGGACCTGTTAAGGCTGTAACATTTTAGAATGTTGGATAACGCACTGTGATGCAGAAAACCACCTTCAGACTTCGTTGGATTTGCACGTTTTCAGTTCCTCACGATAACAAAAAGTGTTTTTTGATATGGCGTCTGGCGTCTATCTGTATGCTTGTAATATTACGGCAAATGTCAATAAAGCAGTAATTATGAATAATAACCGGCAAGTATAAATAATTACCGAAAATGATAATTTTTTTTTTATTTCTCTGCGAATTTACAATCTACTCACTACAGTAAGGAGCAATAAGTAAATTGGTTAAAAGTAGGAACGTGAGTAGAGAATCAACCAGCGTCGATGCTCTTAAACACAATTGATGCTATGTGATAAATTTCGTACCAATAATCACTTTTACGGGTAATTATAAATAGTTGCCTGGTAAAAGGTAAAGATAACCCTGTAACTGGCCGTGGAGACCCATAGGGTTGTGAGATGTTGAGGTTCCCACATTTTCCGTACACTCGGCTAAGAGAAGGCGGTAATTTCGTCAGCCTTACGCGCCGGCCGCCCTTTACCCCCGGGAACATTCCTGGTACTCATTTCTGTTAGAAGCTGAGTCGACCCCAGGGCTTAGTGCGGCTGGAAGGATTAGGTCAATCCATCTCATCGGGACTCGAACCCGCGACCTTCTGGTTTGTAGCATAGTGTCTCAACCAACTACGCTACAATGTGTATTACTCATAATTAACAACGTCCATTGGTAAATGTAATTAAACCTATAGGATTATATTTGTTTAGGTTACCAATCAGTAGCATCCCTCGAAACGCATAGGTTGGTTACCCTGCTCTGTACCTGTTTGTTCGGTTTTCCAGAAGCATTCATGCGTGACAGAAAATATTAAAAATATACCATAAAATTATATTTATTACATTAACAAATAAATGTTGGTAATTTCGAATAATAGCCGTTATTTATTCCTAACGGCCGGTAAAGGCGATTAGTGTAACGAAATTTATCACGTTCATGATGTGTATTTGTACCAACCACCTTACAGTGCATAGAATTTCACCTTTCTCTTCACTACATGTTTCGACACTAATGTGCCATCTTCAGGTGTGGTTTTGTTTACGTCAAACCATTGCACTGCATGCCATTATGTCTCCTTTATAAACACACATCAAGAACATGAATCAGTGCAACAGGACGCTAAATTATAACGAAATTTACCACATTTACCACTGCTTTTGGTACCATACAATTACCGTTTATCATCCGCGATTATCAATTAATTAGTTTTGCCGTAGCACACACACACATGTAGGCATTGACGTGGGCCTCGCCAGCATCTGAACGGTTTGACAGATTTATTTGAAAATTTATGCATCTTAAGTCAGTGTGCGGTGAATGTGAACATCACAGCTCAAAAAATATTGGCCCTTTCGATGGGCATCAAACACAAAAATACGATTTTCTTGAAAAGTATGTGGCAAAGTGTCGTTAAATAAAACTATTATTGTAATTTCATCACTGTAAATAGCCACATAGCCTCTGTTAAATGTAGGGTCTGTATAATATTGCATTTAATTCCATTCACGCCCAGTTAATTCTGCTCCACACACACAGCTTGTGATTTAACTTTCTTTCGAAATTTATTTCTTATTCTGTCACATTTTCGTTTACATATATTTTGTTTTATTGTTAACTCGATAACTGTACAAATGTATCTGAAAACAGGGTTCAAACTCATATCCAGTGATGTAAAGTCAACGTGTGTGACATCTACTGCACTGTCTTGGTTAAAACATGTTTGTGAAACAGTTTGACAGTAATATATTGTTTATAATTTTATTTTATCTTGTCATTTACGCAGGTTTTGTTTATGTCTGCTATAAACTACTTTACTTTAATTTACATTTCATCGAAATCAAATCCATTTTAATATTATCACGTGTAGGGGTTTTGCGCGCGAATTATAAGACGGGTTTTGGACTGGATGATTGCATTTATTAACACCTTATTCACACACACACACAACTCGGACCTACAGGCAATACAGCGATATCGCTGGTATACACATATTACAGCTCATCGTTACACACACACTAGTCGTACTCTGGCAACGGATTTATCATAGTCTCGCTGTCACTTCAAATCACACATAAAGCCTTGCTTCCTTCTTATGACTGCCAATTTTAAAGACACGACTCCATTCAATTCCTCTGACCCCAAGTCCATATCCCGGCAGGCTGGAGTCTCGAAGCTCGACCCTTCACTTCCGAATCTACTGTTCTATATTTGAACGCGTCTTTTGACTGTGTCCTTTTATAACCCCCGGCACGAACTACACAGAAAACACACTCTTTATTTTAAGGAGGCGTGTTTACTGGTCCGCCTAGCTGTGGATGTCCTTCTGATGCATGATCACGCTTCGCGAGAATGTTTTTACTGAGTCGTTGCCTAGCAATGGGTATGTCACAATATTATTCTCCCATTGATGCTCGGGTCTTCCAAGTGGTCCCTTTCCTTCATGTTACGAAACTCATTATGCAGTTTTCGTCAGTTTAATGTTACTTATGCCCACTCTGCTCTAAATACGAGTATTCTCGTCGGGAGCCTAATCTGAAACGCCATCAATTCATGTTGGTCCTTTAACGTTAAGGTCTAAACCCATACAAAAACAACAGATGGAATTGCAGTTTAGTAATGATGATGATAACAACAAGACATTCTAGCAAATACTAATGGCCTGCTTTCTTTTCGCTACATATTGATTATAAAATAAGACTCGGAACGCATGAAAAAAGATGAGTCCAATAATTTTGCTATTGTTACGTGTGTATTTGTTGTCGCGGTAATGAGTTTACCGAGCCGTTGCCTAGCAACGACCGTCTTTTCTGACTACATTATTCCGGCTTTAAAGCATTGGGTGAGCACAGACTAATAGCTACGTAATCTAATAAGCCTACTACTGCTATTTTTTTAAATACAGGAAGTAGGCTACTCATGATGGTAAGCAGGAGCATTGATACTCACCAGGTACCACTCTTCCTTGAAGAGCGGATCCGGAAACACATTATGGGGGCCAATGCCGCGGTATTGCGGCTGGTGCTGCTCTTCTTGCGGGCCGGTGGCACCTGCCCCGAAGAAGGAAGGGTAGTCTCCAAAAGCGGGGAAGTTTGGGTCCGAGTAATCGCGCTTCTTGCGCCGTTTCTCGTGCTGCTGCTGGACCCAGTGTACCTGGGAACACACACCAAGTTCACTACATAACATAACTTAACCTGTATCAAATGGGATAACATGGCTTAGCTCAGCTACAGCGACGTTTCCACGCCCTAGAAAAGTTCCTTATGGTTAAAGGCGCTTTCTCACCTACACAGACTGTAATTTACCGAGACGTCTTCTTGGTGACATAAAACAAAAAACAAAAAACTCCGTGATTTTAGTCGGCAAGCGAACTATACCGACCGAGCGACCGCCGCTTGTCGGCGAAGTTTAGTGCCAACTTTTGCGGACAGAGGGTGTCACGTGGTCAGCGCAATTAATCTAATTTCGGTTTTGTAGACCGGAGCCGCTATTTCTTTGAAATAGCTCCTCAATTATCATCACGAGGCTGAGTGGATCGAATTTTTTCGTTAACCCTGATATGCTGATCTCATATTTGGACTAAGAAATTCCCATCATGCCACAGATCTGTGTATTGCGACTCGGTTCTTCTTCATTGTAATACAATAGTACACTCCTCTCGTGTTATTCTTAGCATTTATTTGGCGTTTGCACTGTTCTCTGTTACGTCTTACACTAGAACAATTTTCTAGTGTTATTTGTAACTGCTATTGTGTTCATCCTCTGTTCTATTACTTTATGTTTTTGGCATATCCTGCGTTCTTTTTTTTTTTTTGTTACATGCTGTAGTACTTCTCTTTAAACGAGTTTTTTTGCTATGTTAAAGCTCTTTAATAAGTGTTCAACGGAACCGAGTTATCAAAGCATATCACATTTTACGTTTGTAAAATGTTACGAGTGACTAAGTATACAAAGCTACTACAAAGATGACGCATAACAATTTATATCCCAAACTTCCACAATTCGGTGGTGATTGTTAACATTTCTATTTTTACACTACATTACAGAGCATCCTGTCTCTAAAGCTCATCACGTAATGGCTTCATGGAAAACATTTCAAATTAAATTACGTGACGTCCAACATCTTCCTCAATAAACGTGCTGTCATCTAAACTTCTGCATCGGAGTGGTTACCACGGAGGTCCCCTAACGAACCCCGATGCAACTTGATACGCTTCCAGTTGTACTTACGGTTATTGTTGGGCCGCGCTCAAGCGGTTAGTCGCTGGCTTCCCACCGCGGCGGTCCGGGTTCGATCCCGGGCCTGAGCAAGTGGGATTTGTGGTGGACAAAGTGGAGCTGGGGCAGGTTTTCTCCGTGTACTTAGGTTTCCCCTGCCAATCTTCATTCCACCAATTGCTCCACAATCACCCTCACCTATCATCTGGGGCTGGTACAATAGGCCAGAAGTGGCCGCAGTACAAGGGACTTAGTCCCACCCCACTAGCAATAAAAAGATACGGTTGTTGTTATCACCTTCGAGCACAGGTTCAGTAATCACGACACTTCAATCATCAATGGTTTGTTTTAATACTGTCAGCTTCTTCCTTCACCACAGTTTCAGTAGTTGCCAAAGGAAAGTTACGTTGCATGCAGTGGCTCAAGAGTACAGTGATATGAGACTTTTGATGATCTCACGTCGGAGACCATGAAGACTGCCTTCTGGGATATGACGCCCTACAGTCTGGTAAGACTGTAAGGACGTTTCAGAGGCGTGTGTTGCTTCAAACTTCAGGTTACAGTGGAATATTTCAGAACACAAACTTCAGTACAGTCAACTTAATTTCATGAACTGTTTCGACTGGTTTCAGAAATATTATTAGCATAATTATTAATTAGCCGGTCACGGTAGCCGAGCGGTCTAAGGCATGAAATGTCTTCGCTCGCTCGGAAGCCGGGATAGTGGGTTCGAATCCCACTCAGGGCATGGATGTTTGCGTGCGTTTTTCTGTGTTTGTGTACAGGTAGAGGCCTTGCGACGAGCTGATCACCCGCCCAAGGAGTCCTACCATATGTCTAAGATCTAGTAAAACCGAAGTGAAACGGAGAGTTTCATGGATGTAGGCCTAGGTCCACTGGGGCTGTAGTGCCAATGAAAAAAAAAATATTAATTAACGGCTATAATCATTATCAATAGTTGGTGTGATTGCAATAATTTGATTATTATTGCCTAATTAATACAAGTTGTCTTCTTACGTCCTTTTTATGCGTTTGTTTTGTTTGCCTCTTTGCTGGTGAATACTTTGTATTTGGCCCTTGTTCTGCTGAGTAAGCATGTAAAAAATGGTAAAACTCTCCCTGTAACAGGCCGCGGAGGCCCATAGGTTTGTGAGACGTCTAGGCTCCCACATTTTCTAGACAATTGGCTCATAGATGGCGGTAAGGTTGTCAGCCCTAAACACCGGCAGCCCTTTACTCCCAAGAATATTCGTGGTACTCATTTCTGTTAGAGGCTGAGTCGACCCTAGGGCCACAGTGCGGCTGGAAGGATTAGGTTAACTGAAGAATCCAATGCACTCATTGGGATTGAAGCCGTGACCTTCCGGTTTGAAAGACAGTGCCTCAACCAACTACGCTACGGGCGTGCCCCCTGAGTATGCATGTAAACAAGGGAAAGAAACGAAATATTTGCAGTTGTACTATTAACACCGCAGCAATTTTGCTGTTACGGGATATGCAGTGTTCCCTTCAAATGCTGCGTGTAGTGAAGGCGGAGGACCAAGAGATATGTCTTGATCCGGACAAGAGTAGCTGAAAACCCTAAGCAGGCCAACTCCTAGCTCGACACAGTCAGCTACTTGCAGTTCTGAAACTTGCACTGGAACGGACTTCCGGGTTTTAATGGAACGACTGTCAGGAGGATGGTGACACGAGGACGGTACAATAGCTGACAGAAACATTTCCGCGCCACTGACTTCCTATTTGTTTCGTCTGAAGCCAAGTTGTCATGCCAAGACTCAAACTTCGCTAGACAATGGCCCCCGGTTCTATTGACAGAATGCCTCTTCCTGAGGGGAAAATTTTACTTTCTTGAGAGATGTGTTAAGAGGACGAGGGTCCTCAAATAGGGCGAAGCTCCTTTCTGGCATACCGCCATCACTAGGGTGCCTAATTCATAATCAGAGAATTTTTTCCCTTAAGTTTCAGTTAACAAGTTACGTCTTCCTTGTAACTTACTGTTAAGGATAGGGAGAATCGCATTAAACCCCACGAGTTGCCACAGCTTTCTAATTTTTTACAGAGCTGTACACGTCAATCCATATCTAACAGTCTGAAACTGAACAGATAATTTCTGGACATATTAATTATTTACAATAGTAACAACCCTGAGAATATTCGGACATAACCAATGACAAAAATTCGTTAAACTTGGTATGAGCACAAACATCTGAACACCTCTCGAGCTTCGTTGATTTAAGTTGTAGAACATATATTGTACCTGCACTAAACCGTATGGTTTTCTGAGATGGGAGTAACATTTAACCCTTTGAAGCCTCACTGAAGGTTGAGATTTCTGCAGCTACGCCGTGTGCTTGCTGTATAGGAAAGAGGGTGTCGATAATATATCGACATCTGACCATATGCGAATATTCAACGTGTCGCTTATAGTCCTATAACGATATAAGAGAGATAAGGATATAGAGTTATACAGTAAAAGAGACAAAGAAACAGCAGTATGAAGAATTATATCATTTGGAATATAACGCCTTGTAATCCACTGCAAGTCAACCGACGTTTCGGAGGAATATATTGACTCCATTTTTTGGGGTCAAATAAACTAAATAAGAAAGCAGCATACGAGCAGATCCCTCTTCTTTGACCATGAAGATGGAGGCGACGTGCTTCTCCGAAACGTCAGTTGACTTTCAACGGACTAAGCGGCATTATATAACACTTCATAACCATCGCTGTAAGAACCTCAAATACTGCATAGCAATATCAAGGTTGAATTGCATATATCTTAGAATTAAATATTAATAAGACTTCCGCGCCATGTCACTGTTCACTGTTCTGTCTCATATGGATTACTGATAAAGCACCGTCCTTATGTAGGAGAAATTTCATATCGCTGAAAATTATGCGAAAGAACAAATATTGTACGCGCATTTCCACATTGAAATTTACGCTTTTGAAATATTTCTTCTGGAAATAAGTTATCCTGGTAAGAGATTTTTACGATTTTCCTCAGTTCCTCCAAGCAAATATTGCGATAGTACCTTAAATGAAGCAGCGATTATTTCTCTGAAATGTTTCGAAAGTCATCACCATTATCATCTTGCCAATCGACCCTACGGGGTCCTGTCCTCTGAGCTAGTGACAGTGTGTTCAAATAAATCACATGTAAGAAGAAACACATATGTAAATTTATTCGAGTAGGAAATTGTACTAAGATGAAATTCTACGTTAAATAATTATTCATTCTACAGCTCCCCAGACTGCCTACAAAGACGGAAGCAGATACAGGTAGGTAGTTGGGGAAAGACAGGTCTTCCAAGAACCCCTCTAACTGCAAGGAGCAATTCAGGAACGTATATATTTAATTAAATGGCATAAGTACAATATATATACATATTCCCGGAATGGTTCTGACGCGATATCGAGCATGAATGGCGCCAGATGCTTATTAACAAATTGGCGGAGGCAAGATATCTCGTTACATTCTTTTGAGTACAAGAATGTCTATCTTATTTGCGTGCTTTAATTAAATTCTGAACGGCAGATGCTTAAATTTAATATAGATTGTCGCACCAACAAACAGCGTTAATTTACACAGCTTCTCTTTGATAGATTTAATAAGCGAATATACGAACCCAACACCTCGCACCTCTCTTAATTACATTATCCCATTAGGGACCATAAATCCACCTCCACAAGATATACACGCCCACCAGAAAACAGTTCTAACGACATAAGCAATAGTACACCTGTACACTACCGTAGTGACTGCTGTCATCTTTAACAAGCTGCAGCGTTCATGATTACCCGAAAATAACAGAGCAAACATCGTCTTACTGATATTCTTCGGGCACCACTAAATAATATAGCAGTATCTTGAAATCGACTGATTTCCTTCTACCTTTGAAAATACAAAATATCAACAGCATTATTTC